TTTGTGTAATTTGGCAGATGTCGAGCATAAGATCCAAATGGTAAAAAATGTGTTTTAGAGTAGTTAATGCTTAATTTTCTACTGTTAAACCACCGAATAATTTTGATAAAATCATTTTCAATTACATTTTTCAGATCAGACCAGTCAGTGCCTTTATATAATATTGCAGTATCATCTGCAAAACTAGTTATTTTGCCAACACAATTAATTTGGAAAATATCATTTAAATATATATTGAATAACAGCGGACCTAAGACAGTTCCTTGTGGGACACCACACTTAATATACATTTCTTTACTAAATGATCCTGATATCTGCACAGATTGTGGGCGATTTGACAAATAACTTTCGATCAGTGAGTACGCGTTTCCTCTGAAACCAATTCTCTCCAATGCTTCTAATAATAATTTGTGATTAACTGTGTCGAAAGCTTTCTTTAAATCAACAAAAATGCAGATTGAAGGGATTCTGTTATCAATATTTTGATGTATTTGATTTACAATTTTAGTTATTGCGTCCGATGTAGGCTTCCCTTCTGTAAATCCATATTGATTTTCACTTAAAATTTTGAATTTTGTGAGGTATCGAATCATTCTAGTAGATAAAACTTTTTCAAAAACCTTTGCTACACTGGATATTATTGATATTGGTCTATAGTTGTTAACATCTGTTTTTGTTCCTGATTTATGTATCGGTATTATATTACCTTTTTTTAAAATTGAGGGATATATGCCAGATTCAAAGCATTTGTTGATTAGGTAAGTGAGTGGTTCTGTTATGTCCTCGGCTATAATTTTCAATTGCTCGCTTTTAATACCATCGAACCCAGGACTTTTCCGATTTTTTAAGGACATAACAGTGGTGTATACTTCACATTGCTCGACTTTATCCAAAATAAATGAGTTCAAAGTTCTTTTTGGAGGCTGAGTATTTTGTACATTTGCTTGTATATTACTTGCTAAATTTTCGCCTATGTCAGTAAAGAATTGTACAAATTCATCGCATATCTGTTGAGTATTTTTTAATACTGTTCCCGATGTTGTATTTAACTTATAAGATCCGTGACGTCATGAATCAGCTGTTATCAATAAATGTTTTCTTTGACATGCATGAAAGTTCTCATAGCTACAAAGCCATGGTTCCATCATTAAAAAAAAAAATCTGGAAAAAAAACATTTCTCCCATGAATATTATGAAAGGTTTCTCATTTAAACTTTCCATACACAGTTGTAGACGAAAAAGCACCGATTATTAAGTGATAATAAAAATAATCAGAGATTATATACGCGCTTTTCTAAAATAAACAAGTTGCAACAAAACCGCGGATTAATGAAGTGTCGAATAATTTGGAATTCGATGAGAATATAAACTCCATGAATTTCCTATGCTCAACACTTGATGTTGGCGAAGACTTAGATGATTCCGCATCTTGTCACATTGATGACTAAGGAAAAGAGTAACAATAACATCTTTTTTTCATTGTCTTCGTAGATTAGGCCTATTGTGGAACAAAGTACGTTATTTTACAATTATCTCAATGTTCAAGAAAAAATGATCTCTACGAAAAAAATGCACAAAACCTTTTTTGTGGATAATTGCATACTGAACAAAACAGGTAATGGTTCATTTTATCGTAGAATTGATATTTCCGAAGATATATGGGAAAAAGTGTTTTTTGTGACCTTTGACCTCCCATAAAAAAATCTCCACTTGGATTCATTCACCTTTGAGGGATGATTTGTAATGCTGAAAAGAAGCTCTGGTAAAAAATTCAGCCAGGTGCGATTTTTTCAGCAGAGAAAGTCTAATAGTCCTGGACTAATACGATAATTAAGAAAACATAAACTAAGGTCATGAAAAATACATCTTACGACGATATTTCAGCCGTTAGCAACTTCAAAACAAGTTTATTGCATTATATTACCCTGTTGTGATTGTTTACAATTAAACCGTTTTCTATTTTTGATATCATTCCTCCGTTTTTGATGCGTGCCAACGTTGCCGACGCAGTCTCATTGGTCTACGCTTAATGTGTTATGAACTACACGCCTATCTAATATGTTTATTAAACACGTACAGACTATCGTTTTGTTCTTATATACAAACTATAGAGCACGTTTCATTGCGTTGCTGATATTTCGAACCGGAACATAAAAAATTGTCTCACGTTTCCATTTGGTTAGTTTTATTATGAATATTATTACCTCAGGGAGAGCACTTGTAGGTGTGATGGCAAAAGTCAAAACAAATTAGATCATTAACGTAATAAGTAACCAGGAAGTTATGTTTGTTTTCATTTTTGGATTTCCACAAATATTATCAGTTGTTATGCATTTTTATTTTACCTATAATTTTAACAGTATCCAGATATAAAATAACAAAACAAAGATTTCCTGAAAGTAATAGGTTGAATCAAATGCAATGAAAACTGTCCAGTAAATATTCCCTTACAAATTTTCTAAATTAGGCCTAATCAACAAAAATGATTAATGGTTGCTATACCCATAAAAAATGAACCTGTGTGCGATTAAGAAGGGTTATAACTTCAATAGTAATGATATAAAAAGTTTTACGACTGCTTTATCATCAAACGATTCCTTACACGTGTAATGTGAAGTAATCAATAAAATTAAAAACCCCACAGCAGATTGAAAGGCCAATTATAAACTGCATTCAATGATAGATAGAAAATTATTCTTAAGCCTCAAATTAAAATATTCCATTGTGTTGTGAGACAGTTAATCATTTTTAGCATACAATAATTTGTACAGGGTAGCAACTAAGAATACGATGACCTGCATCTGAGAGCCTATCTATCGAGGCTTGTACATACCATCACATAAAATGACACTCACTCGGATTATGAAAGTCCCACTATTACATACTTCGTGCATGCTTTACGATCCCAGATTCTATTTTTATTGTATAATTTCATGCATAATATGCAGTGTACGTATACAGGAATAAGGAACAGGAATAATATAATTGGCATAACAAACTGCTATTCAGTTACGCCTTTCTCAATTTATACGACGCGAAGGTCACGCATGTAAATATAAACATTGTAATGAACTTACAAAGATACGCAGCAGGCTCGCGTTACCTGCGACACGTGTTACAGCCCGGTGAAAATAGAACCGTTAGAGATCACACCGAAATATTGATTTTGTACGATGAACTTTTGAAGTCCATTTTCAAGCTGTGTGAGAAGACTGATATGGTGAAGACAATTACCCAAAAAATATTTTAAAATCTAATGTAATTAGTATGATTTTAGGTGGATATTATACTTACACATTCAGATCAATTTGGAACATCAAGAAAATGTATTTACAACTTACCCTTTTCATTGCAGGTAGGGATTTTCAGGTAAAATGATACAAAAGCTTTAATTTGGTTCAGGTTAAATGTTTCTTAATCCCAAGCTATGTTGCAGCAAATTTTCTATTGAAGTATGTAAAATATGGCAATTAATAGCTACACCTAGCAGTAATACCCCTAAAGAAGGAACTAGGATTACTCTTACATTTTTTCAGTTCAGTTTGTATTGGTGAATGAACTTCCAAGTAACATTTATTTTATTCATACATTTCTCAACAGATACAAGATCCAATTACAGAGAAACACTATACAAGTGTTGAAAAACACATACAAAAAATAATATCATGGATTGATGATACTAAAAAAAACGCTTTGTGTGTATCAGAAATCCAACACAAAGCCCCATCAGTGCAGTAGTAGCACACTTAAATTAAAATATTTATGAATTTTAATTCTACTCCTAAAATACATAAGGTAATAGAAAGCTAAAACGGGTTTGTCACTGAACGGTTTTTAAATTTTATAGATGTACGTTCGCTCGTATCAAAGTGGAAGAGACGGGCTAACCCCGTTAAGCATTTCGATATTCTTTATACAGGTGTTGCTAGCATAATATATGTCGGAGCTTTTGGTGGATAAAACATAGTGTAGTAACTACTATTCAACCTAGGCACAGTAAAATTTAAGTTTGGCAAAATTTCACCACAGTCAATCTGATTGCTTAGCGACTTGTGCACAAGGCAAGCAAGCAGCTTAAAAGCATAAGAATCTCAAAATATAAAAATAAAGAATTTCCATTAAAAAGGTATTTGGTCTGCTTTAATGTTTGGGCTACCTTGCATATCAAGAAAAAAATATAATTTAACTGTTTATAATAAGGAATCTATGGTACCCCATCAGATCTTTGAACTACCCTGTACAACTAGTCTAGGAGTCTTCAAATTTTTAAATTCGCTCTTCTCAAAACTGATTTCTTGTGACATTCATTCTTTTTTCTCCTGTACCCTTCAAATATTGATAAAAGCTAACAAATCTACATGGGATAATCATAATTATATTAGAGATTAATTTCATTTCATCAGCCTCCATTTCACGGCTATTGCCTCGAAATTCATTTTTGCATCCATCGCTCATTGTCCCACAATTACCCGGATCTGGTTTCGTCCCGTACGACGTCGCAACGTGGCGTCGACTCCACGCGCCCGAACTGCATCGAGGCGGCGTACCGCGGAGTTTAGCGGCCGCGACCTCGACCACTGTGGAGAAAAGCATTACGAGACGCACGAGCCGCGATACCGTGGTAGTTCGCCTCCACGTGCCCGCTGCCAACACGATCACCGACCTCGACAATTCGCTTAGAGACGTAGGTCGGGCTTCCAAGCCCGCCGTGTTGCCAAATGTACAGCCATGTCCGAGAAATGAGGAACGCGTTTTTGTTGTGTTTTATTCAATAGTGAATCAGCAGAAGCCTATATGCCAGGACAGCGGGATTGCTATGAGGATCCCAAAACATTTTGTTAATCCGAAAAGCTGCCTCTTGTAGATCACGCACCTAGCGAGCTATAAGCGACTCAAGGTGCCATTGATACATGCGCAAAAGTTTGTAAAATAATTGATTATAGTTCAACAATGTAATTTGAATAAAAAAAAATGATGTTAAATTTTTCAAAATTATTCAGGTTCAGTCCAAAATAGTTTTCATGAAGGTAAATGTGTTTTTTTTTTAATTAAATCACTCAGTTGAAGATCAAATCAAGGTTTCTTGTATGTATCTTATTTTGTACTGTATATACGTTTGATATTTTCTCATAGGTTGGGTAGCCAACTGAAACTTCGCCTTATTGTTGGTCTATAAAATTCTGGAATTCTTATCGAGTTAATTTCTTATACTATTGGTCCAGTGCAATCTGTAATGTTGTATTTAAATTGGGTGTGATAGTCTTCGATCCCGTTTTGCAAATATTTTTTCTCTTGCGGCTGCAAGGTCTGCCGACTTTTTCATGAAAGATCAATTGGCAGTGAGCCGAGATAGAGAGGCGTGTGTTTCAAGGGTTTCTTTATCAAAGTGTTCCGATAAAAGCGTGACAACATAAAAGTATCTTAAGGTTACGAAAGTATAATGATGTTCGTGGAAACTGTTTGTTTTCCCAAGTGTTAAATACGTGAACGTCAAACGCGTGTTAAAAACAATGGAATTTTTAGCAGGTCTTAAATGCTTTGATGGAATATTCCAGTTTAGGGACAAGAACCTTGACTAGAACAATATAAAATATACTAAGTGACATAAAATGGATTATTTATTGAATTTTGATAAAAAAACATGTAAACTTGCTATCATGGAAGTATACGCTGATAAAACGTTGAAGGTATTCCAAGCCGTACTTTTTTTGAAAAGGCTTTTATTGTCTATATCAGGATCCGAGCGATATGAACTTGCTTACTTAATATTCGGTGATTTTTCTGCGTTTTGGTTCCATTTGTTTCATTGCATTATCATGCCTAGAGTTCGGAGACGCGCTAATCTGGTGAATCGAAACGAAGCTACTGTAATGAGATGTTGTCGAGCGTGGTTCCAAGACAGACTACAGACGCCTGAAACCGCATAATGATACAAAACAAAATGTTGCAAATTCGGGATTTATATCCAAGTTCTGCATCGTTACTATACAAATTTACAGAATAAAATTCTTTAGCAACAAAGTTATTGGTTATTGCCACTGAATGGTTTGAAGCCAGCGCACGACGTGGCAACATCGCACTCTATTCCTTTTAATGACATTTTTCATTTAATTGTAGCTGAAATTTTTGCAAATTCTGAAAGCTGGGTGGGTTGATAATGATTACAGGTAACCTTGAATGTAAGTAATGAATCACTATGAAAAAAAATCAAGGGTAAATTAATATTGATTACGTACCTATATGACTATAAAATTCGCAAACGATATCAAGAAGTACTTTTAATCTTTCAGGCGAATCATATATGATTTTCGTTATGGTAAAAGCATAATAGTTCAGCTACAATGCTGAGGAGTATCTACCATAATAAACGGACTTTGAAAATTATGGATAAAGGTTTTATATCAAAAATTGTTATTATCGATCCAAGATATTCGAGATGTCCAACATATAGTTTAAAACCGTTTACAATATGAAAATGCCTTGGAACGATATGAAAAGCGTATAAAGTGCATCATGCATATAAGAAGGGGAACAGCATATTTGCAAAATATTACAAAAGCGAATGAAGCGAATGTTATACTTTACTGCATTAAAATCGCAACGCAGATTATTTAGGTCAAAAATCAGCGACCTAATCAATCTGGCGATATACTTACATTAAAGCATTTACTGTTGTCCTAGGACAGGTGGACGGGCCGCGGATTAGAATTCAATTTTATGCTAAGTCTTAAGTAACTTTCACGGTCTAATTATACTATAAACACCGATTAGCTAATCGAACACCACCAATATACAATTATATTTGATTGTTGGTTATTGCAAAAAGCTAGTAAGATTGTATTCTGTTACTGGAACCACTCCGGCGATCAGTCAATTTCAAACTAAATATTTACCTCCCAACGTTCGTGAAAAGCGCGCCGCGAACCGACAGCTTAGCGGCGTTGCCAAGCTTACGCATGGTGTTTTGAGCTTAATAAATAGCAAAGGGGTAATGATCGATAGGCCTAACAGAGTTGCAATTTCTGAGTTTGATTTCCCAGAATTAAAAAATTAATTATCAGTAACCGAATTTTCTCACTAATAACCTTTCCTCTACCCATTTTGAAAACCTTAACTACCCAAAACTATTTTAAACGTATTCTGACAGCTGTGATTAATAAAAACAATTGTCATTTTTCACAGCCACCTATGCGTTATAGACTTATTTTGCATTGAAATAAAAATAGGTTGATATGCTGTAATTGCAACATGCGTTATTTTTATGCTTCAAATTTGAATAGGGATTGAAAAAGTTGGTGTTTTCTACTATATATTATCAAAATATTCATTGTTAATATTGTAAACCTATAACACCCTGTTACATTTTTATTATTTGTATTTGATAAAAAAAACTAAGATTTCAATAGTTGGGCCAGCTGAAGTGGGAAGGGGCTCGTACTCGTACAAAGCTAAACCTGGAAATTGCATATGCAAATTTGACGTATTTCAAAAAAGAGAGCAATAAGAAGAAAAGAAAATCCCTGGTTGGTGAGGTATATTAACACTAACAGGTGGGACAGTATGGTACATACAGGAGTATTTATGAAACTTAAAAAAGCATTTCACATTAATTTTCATTTTAAATCATTGAAATTTTAAAGAAAATTTTTTTCCACCAGCGTGCAGAAAGTAACTCCTTTCCGCACGCATAAATTTTTTAGTTTTCATAATCCAAATAACTGTTGTTTTACTTTTAATATTGTTAATAATTATTATAAATGAATGATTGATGTTGTTGATGATGTTGATTTTACAATTATCAAATTTGTAATAAAACATAGTACGTATTTAAAAATCCGGGTTTATTATTTTCTCGTGCTGCGCTGCTAGAAAAAATCTTATAAATGGGGTAGTAGAATAGCTGACAGGGGAGAGGTTCTTTCTATTCGCTGTCGGGGGACGGTATTATACAATGTTAGAATTCTCGTTTCCAGAACCATTCTCGGAAGAAAAGTGCAGAAGCTTCAGCGTCATCCATCAGTCTCTAAGAACGACGTTAACTTTGTTTCGATACTTATAATAATATGGGGAACTTGGGAACATATTGTTCTCCTAAAAATGGATGCATCACAAAATTTGTATAATAAACTGCTGTCAGAATTTGGGATCACTACACAGGAAGCATTATATCCTACTGCGCTCAAAAAGTGCCCCCCATATCTTTTGTCAATCGTCAATCAATATTAATTGCATACAGAAAAGATACATTTAGGAAGATGAAAATTGAATAAACTATCAAGATGATTATACGTAATATCTGTACCTCAGAGCCAGACTAGGTTAAGTGCTAATAAGTAGTTTTGAGATAATTGAATTTGAAATATTTTTCTTGTATTGTATGAGACTTGAAATGATTCAAAAAGTCATATTATTACAGATACATAGACGCTGCAAGTAGCAAATGAAAATTCACAATATTATCATAAGCTTAACATATGGAATTCATTCTTGACAAAGATGGACTTAACCTAGTCTGGGTCTGGGGTATAGATATGTGGAGCCTTATCGACAAACAATACCTATTTCGTGCACATTTCAGTAATAAACCTAAAAGTTTATTCGACTTGAATCTGTGTGACTGTTTCGAGATACAACTCTGCCTGGCAGTATCAGTGAGACTAGGTGGAAGATAAAACATCTATCTATATCTACATAATGTCCCACAAATTGAATAACCTTGAATTATGATGAACAATTTACTCCATGTTAACAAGTTTGGCACAGTACAACTTCTTTACTGCACCATTTGACAGACAATGTTATAGATAATATGGTTAAACATACTAATACAGCTTTAGTAATGATTTACTTCTCTACGCCGATCGACACGGTTAACCACAAAATTTTGTTAAGTAAGTTAAAGTATATTGGATTTACTGGCATTTCCATAGTAAGCGGTAGGTTTGTATTGAGCATCAACAATTCCGTTTGTGTAACAAGTAAGTCATCTTCGACTCTGGTTTAAGATTTGACAAATATATGAGTCCTCTATCGAGAAGCACATACATCAAGTTAAGACTACTATATGTTAAGAGATTCATTTTGAATTTTAAAACGCGCGTAAAGCTAGTTGAAGGTTTTATAATGTCCATCCAGCCTTCACTGTGCTTTAACTTTATATTATCTTTGTATTGACTCGATGAATCGGTGTAGAATCCAAAGGATGCAAAACAACTGCTGTAGGTTTTCGAAAATATAGTCATGTCTCCTCTAAGAACAAGGAGTTGATATGACTGAAAATGGATCAACAATGTGAATGTAAGGTATTTATCTCCATAGTAAATTGATTACTAGAGGAATCATTAATCTTAGAGATCTGAGGCATAATAATAATCTTACTACTATGTCTTTGCACTACTGTCTGGGGAGGTTTATCATAGAGGCTGGAAAGCCCAAAATAACAATTAGGACGGTGAATTTATGAAAAACCGAAAGAAATTGATCTGAATTCCGTCCAGGACCTCATGAGAGACATTTTCGAAGAAACTTGCACATAATTCGATAGTATAGTTGAGTTAAGTATTGAGTTGTAATTTATTATAACTAGTTGGTGTTTAAATAAATTTCTTCATCAAAAAAATCCAATAAATATGGTACTTCCAGAACATACGTTATTTCCGCACGCAATGGGGTTGGGTGTAAGAGTAGCCAACTGGCTAAACTAATTGTGATTCTAATAAAGACATTTTATTATTATATTTCCCTGAAAGTCCGCGCTAAGAAATTGTGAAAATTCGGAACATTTCAATGATACCAGAATTCCTATGGCAATATGTTCGTCAATTAAAGGAGATTTCCGTACATGTGGCAACGCGGCCCTCGAGTCTGAACGTCCGCTCCACATCTCCCCCCTCCATTGTGTTTTTGCCGGCGACGCTCTCGGTCCACCTCGTGTAAGCGGACACGTGGAGGCGAACTACCGCGGAGTTTCGACTGCGGCGGGTGCTCGTTTTTGTTATTTTTTGCGCTGCGCGTCGTTGATTATTCGCAGCGCTAATTTCGAGCGGCGTCGATGGCCTTGTTTGATTGCAATCCTTGATTGGTAGTTGGCCACCGAATTGAAGGAAAGACGAAGTGAAGTGCGTCCGTTCAGCGTTGTGCGGCAAAGCGGCGGCACGAGCGTCGTGCCTGCTCAGCCAGCGAATTTTCTTTTTAGGCTGGGTCATGGTATGCCATGGCAAGAAGCCGACGACCGCCGACCAGACGCTGCTGATATTTACGGCCAATTTTCCCAACACATCCTCATTATTGGAGACATATGCCAAATACAGCATCTATGCATAAAAGCCCGGTTTATCTATTGAATGCTGGCCTCTCTTTCGTCTTAGGATTATTAATCAAATCCAAGCGGATAACCAAAATTTCCGTATTATGTACCGCGGTTATAATATGGTTCAAGATGACACACGGCATGATGACGTCAGTTACTCGAATCGCGTGATTGCGTTGGTTTTAACCGTGGTTTGTTGCAAGTTGTTTATTTTAGAAAAGCGCGTATATAATTTCTGATTATTTTCAACGACGGGGTATGGAAAGTTGAAAAAATAAAACTTTCATAATATTAATGGGAGGAATGTTTTTTTTTTCAGAAAAAAATTTTTATTGATGGAACCATGGCTTTGTAGCTATGATAACTTTCAATTCTCTAAACTTTTCCGCATGTCAAAGAAAATATTTATTGATTTAGCAGAAATGAAAAAAGTATACAGGTGGACATCATCCAGTGAGTTTATACGGCCATATTTTAATATTCTTGTGGTATATTGCTATACAGGATACTTTGTTAAGCGTAGGAACTAGATTTAAAGTGTCCCCAACAACAGTAATGATTATAAATAATAAGGTGCTCTCTTATGCTAAAACTGAAGTCAGCCTGTATCAATTTTCCCAAAAATGAAGCTGAAGTACAATAAAAATATCCAATACCCGGCAAAATTCGACTTGTCACATGTCAAATAATAACCAGAAATATAAAACTACTCGCGAGTTGGGTAAATACCACAATTTTGCGGTGATAACTATGACATATAACAGCTGATTCATGACGTCACGGATATTATAATCAAACTGATAAATAACCACACTCGCTTGAACGGATCGGTAAATACCAACGCAAAATGGTAAATACCATTGCCATTTGGTTATCCGCTTGAATTTGATTATTATCTAGGGTGTCCCAAAAGTGATAGGGAGGCTATTTGCAATCAAAAAACCATTTATGTCTTTATTCAATTGTGCACGAGTTATCCACATTTTTAAGAATTTCTGGAAAATCGCTACTGTTGAGGCTGTACTTTTTTTTTAAGTTGACTTTTATTTTATATATATATATATACATTTTGGGAAACTCTATTTATGGCATGTTATACATGACATTTGAGGGCACATTTCTAAAATATTGGCAATTATACAGGGTGTCCCAATTTTGACGTAAATATCAAAGTTGTGATTTTTTAAATGGAATGCCTCGAATTTTATTGATGGATAAACCAATTCAAAAGAACAAGATTGATATAACATACTATGGGGTCTTGGTAATTAGCTACTGAGATGTAAGGTGTTTTGTCCAGAAAAACCGTACACTTGGTAACCTCTCAATCCGCCATTTTGATATTTGGAGTGCTGAATTTTGTAACAAAAAAAGCTCAGCTTTTATCTTATTTGTTACAATTTCGAATATTCATTTTTGCTCATACAGGGTGGTTAAAAACGCGAATTGTAGTTTTTTCAAATGCATCACACTGTATATATTTTTTGATACTAAACACATAAGAGTTTTTACGGCTATTTTTTCGGTTATTAGCACGTCTTTTATGGAAGGGCTTAATTCCCTAAAATATCGCATCATCTTTGGAAACAAATAAATTGTTAATTAGTTACAAACTGTCAAAATTAGCTTTGTGAGCATTATAATAAAAACAAAGCAATAAGGAATTAGCC